AAGGTTCGCAGCTCGAGGAATCCACTGTCTCATCCAAACAGTGGACTAGCACCTCGTAAGACTCCCTTCGACCGTTGATCTCCCTCTTCGAGTCGACTGATGGTGGCGTTATGACCGGAAGAGGTTGCGAGATGGATACCCGCTCAACCGGTTTAAGCAGAAGGCCTGACAGGCTCCGCTAGTTCAGATAGGTGTGTCGTCCCCATGGACCGAGAGTCAATAATATGCACAATTTCCTCTGTAGTACATGAGTCTGGGTTATAAGAGTAAGTTAGTAGATAGAATAAAAAGGGAAAATTATGCTTCCAATCATGTGTTTTATTTCTGATGTATGAAAGCTCTCTGCGATGAGAAAAGGTGCGGCATTATGGGGATCCCCATGCGCTATGGGAAGAGGAATAACTTTCACCAACGGAGCTTTTCCTCACATAACTTCATCAGATAAAAACCATAGTGGATAATCACCTTAAGCGGCCTCCCTAATCAGAGGATGAAGCAGAGAAAAGTTTGGTGGTTGAACTTCAACAGCCGTCGCCGACGATTCCACATTTTGGGATGGGAAATGAGTCAAACGCTAGCGAAGCGATGCTAGGTCCAAAAAATGTCCAACTTTTCGACTCTGTACCTCTATAAGGGGTATGGAATCGAATGGTTCTCCAACTTCTTCCACACAAGACATCTTTGCAGACAATTGTTTAGCTAATTTAAATCCCTCAGGCTTGATCGCATCAGTCTGCCTCATCTTCCTTTCTCCTCTCAATCGATCAGGCTGCTTAACCTGTCTTTTCTTTTGAGCTGGGAAGGAACTTTCTAGTTTTTTTCTTTCTTTCATTTCAAAGAGGCGAGTTAGTGAAGCAGGGAGCCCAAAGGCCATCATTAATGATTCCTCGCTAACTGATTTCTTAGCAACTGACATATTCGTTTAGATTTATGTCTAACTAAAAGACAGAATTCGAAAAAAAGAAAAAAAGAGAAAAACACACTTGGCACTCTATTTATAAAAAAAAGCTGCATAAAAATCAAAGGAATATAATTATTGACACTTAACACTCTCTTATTCTTATGGCAGTTGTCACATTCAAACAAGTAAGAAAATCAAGGAACTAATTATATAGATATGCCTACACAAATCTTAAAGAGATACGACGAATCAGAAAACTTTTGTTCGGACATTCATAATTATATTTGTGGATCTATTAAGCCAATCGAGTGAAATATTGTCTAACTTAGAGCACCACGCAACCACGTGGTACTCTTTCAATCAGCATCTGTCATTATAAAGAACAACAGTCGCCCAAAGGAAAACCTTTTAATGTAGACACATTGACCGAAGGTGAGCTGCCTGTCAAATAGGTCTGATGAAATAATCCTACCCAAGGCAATGCATATTCACAATTGGTCTCCTTGAAAAAGGAAGCTGGAGACCATTCAATCGATCAAAGACTAGGCTGACAGAATGAATACCAAATGGCCAAGCCAAGCAGTTACGAATATGAAACATTGTCAAGGACAATTACATTTACAATGGTTACATCAAAATATCTATTATCCAATTATAAATATATAAAGGTGTAACAGTTTATAAATTATGATTAACATCCAATTAAATGGGGGGATGATCCTATAATTTGGTATACCCTACATACAATTTATAAATAAGAGGGACATTTTTACCAAGGGACGGATCCCAAAAAAAATTCTAAAAAGCTGTGTTACTAGTGCTTTAGTTTTTTCCTTCATTCGACCGACGTTATATTCCTTAGACGAGAACCACAAGACAATTTAAGATCCAACAGAAATAATCTTTTTGCAACTCATGAAACAATGTCCTAAAATATAAATTAGAATCCTGATATTAGTAAACAGCCTGACTAAAAAATATTCCGAATTTTGAGAATGGGATGCCGCAGTAGCAGCAGCATTTAATTGCGACCCTAATTAGACTGACCTGCTTAACTAAAAGTATATAAATGGAACCAATATAGAACGACAGAATGTGAAATGTTAGTTTCATAAGCCAATCAGATTGCATGTTGACTGATTCTTCTTAAATGATCAAGAAATAGAAACTTGGAGATGAAATAGGAACTTAGAGATGTCAGCAGCTTTGCTGACATCTCTAAATGTGCAGCTCATCCGATGAGTGAATTTCCTGTCGGCAACTAGAGCCAAAAAATTAACAAATCTAGAATTGTAAGAGAAAAAAAAAAATTTTAACTTGAGCATTTTGAATCATAACCAAGAAGACAACATGAAGATAAATCTGTATTGCAGAAAGTGCACAGCTAAGATAATTGAGAATATAAATATGATACGTAGTCAGCACTACTCGTTTTTGCACAATAAATTACACTAACATCGACAATGATGTTCAACTACACCAAGTCTGGAAGAAACTCTATTACTATTAGAAGCAGCAAGCATTCCTGGTCACCCATCCCTCATTAAAGATTCAAGAAGCGCAGCTTCCTCTTCCTAAAAATGAACAATGGAACTTTTGTTAAACAACAGGAAACAGAAGGAACATTCTGTACTGTAATGCATCAAATGAAAACAATTCTATAACGAATTTCAAAGAAAATTCTACTTGTGCTGAATTCACTAGAGTCTAGAAATGACAATAAAGACTTAATATTTAACAGCCGATGCAGATTTATACTTAAGCCTGCCAACATAGTATAAATTCCTATCAGATCAATTATGATTTTTGGCACAACAAATGGAAAACAAAGCAACTTAAAATGGTCGAACCAATCAGAGCTTATCTTGAAAAATAATTTAAGCAGCAAACAAGCTCAAAACAATGCAAAAATGATGCCAGGAGAACTGTCTTATTCAAAAAATCGACAATGAATAATATCGTGCAATCTGGAGTCCAATTGTGTCTGAATGAGTGAAACAAAGTAGAGTTACTCCAATTCTAGCTGACATGATGCCAGTCACTTATGTCTTCATGGTTAGTCTTGCCTATGCACGTGGAAAAACTAGCAGTTTCGACCATTGAGAAATGTATCCATGTTGTTTAATCATGCTAGCGGATGCTCTGTACTCTACAAATAAATCCTCTATAAGAATTTTAATTTCTCAAAGCTGTTGAAGCCTCCACAAACCTGTGTTCCCTGAGTCGATCATCCTAAATGACTCCTCTAAATGAAATGAACTTCTTAATATAAAAATGTTAGCGCAACATTGCAATCTTTTAGAAATCCAAAGTTAAGCAATTAAAATTTTTAAAAAAAATTCTTTTCAATATAGCCATCAAAATTATTATATGTCGCTCCATTAAAATTTTGCATCAAGTTCAGCAAAGTGGTGTATCAAGGTCATTGATTGAAGAAACACTCAATGGCAACAGTTGCTAAATCACTACAAATCACCATAGTTGTCACACACACACAAGGGAAAGCCGACCAAATATGACACTATTCTCTCATACAACAAACATATGTAGGCATAATACCTATCATTCATTGTTCAAATGCTGATTGGTAGTCATTCTAAAAATCTATAAATATCACCCAATTATATTCATTTGGAAGCATTCTGACTAAAGGGCATTCCAAAGATCCTGGAGAATTCTTGAGCATAAAGAATTAGAAAAACCCAAGAGAAATAAATACGTCCAAAAAACTACCTATATGACTTTGGATTGGTACATTATTTGCTATAGGTTTAGCAGTAACACCAAAAACCTTAGTGTGCAACATACAGTGTGTAACATGTGGGGACTAATTTTGGGAAATGCTTGTTAAACGCTGGAGAAGATGCTGTGTGGAGATCAATGTATATAAAGAAAAATTGCCCAAAAACATATAAGATAGCAGAGAACAAAGAGGAGTTAGAGATCAAATTGACAACAACAGCGGTATCACGAAAAAGGTCCGTGTGGTAATTTAGCTTTGGCAACATGTGCGAAGACTTTGGGAAATGGCTGCCAAATGTTGTAGATGATGTTATGTGTGGAGAACAAAATCATACAAAAAAATTGAACAACAAAAAAAAAAAAATGATTGTAGAGAGCAAATAGGAGGTCAGATGTCAAACTAATCTAAGAGTGGAAAGCCTACTATAAGCAAGCTAGCAATTATTTTAAAAAATAAGAATCTATAGCCAACTCGAGATCAATACTGACACATGTTTGCTATAAAGTCTCATTAATACAAGTCTTCAAAGGTTAAGACAGAAGTAATTTTAACGTAACGTGTTGTGACAAGCTTAGTTTAATTAGTGGTCAAAATTATTCACAAAAAGTTAAATGACATCAATTTTTTTTAATTATAATAAAATAGTGAAACTCCAAGCGAAGACTTATGCGAATTATTCCGAGTGGATGAGAGTTGATACCCAACCCTTGATACAAATATAGAATTCTATCAAATCTAATCAATCCTGTCAAATTATTCATTGTGACTATGTTAAAGATGCGAGGGAGGAATTGGCATTTGTACTTTTTGGGAGAAAGTAGTTCTCAAAGTTTTATGTATGCAAGGACTTCTATCGAGTTGAACAATAGAATCAATCACTCAAAGCTTATCATTTACATTTTAATGTGTTTCTGAAAAAATGAATGCACTATTGGGCGGTACTAATGTTTGGATTCAACGGGTTAAAAGAAAACAAAGTACTATTGTGAGTTTTCTATATGGTTTCAAATCTCAGTATAAAAGTGTCAAATCAAAGATCATATCTGAATCTGGAGTTACTACTCTGAAAGAAGCATACACACTAAAATGTTGTGTATTATTCGAAGTTCTTAGACTTCATCTGTACAACAACTTAGGGCTCTTGCTAACTAAGAAAATACCGACATTAGTAACCATAGTCTCAGGGCAATTATATTAAAAACATTGAATTTTAAAAACAAAACTCAGGGGTTGTTTACTACTGCCATAAACCAGGTCATACATGGAGAGCATATCAAAAGTAGCTCAAACTAACAAGAGTTTTAGATCAAAATCAACTTACATAGTCACTAGTAACAAAGCTTCTCAGAGTCCGACTCTGTATTTTTGCATAAGAATATTTTAAATTCATCCAATTTCATAAAGCCTCCAAGAAATCTCCCTCTCACTGACAGGTCAGTTAACAATGATACTTGTCGTGATTCTTCTTCCACACAATGGGTCATTGATTATAGTGTTACAGATCACATGACAGGCAATTAAAAACTCTAATGTTCTTAATTCTCGCACCATTAATGTTACACCTACAATGTCTTTAACTTTTTGCCCATAAATTAACTCAATTCTTTTTTAATCTTCTCTTTGTTAGCAAAATTACATGTGCTCTTAATTGTTGTATCCTTTTTCTTTATTGAGGAAGGCATTACATATTAGATAATCAAAAAGAGTTGCAACATCTAACACAAAAAATTGCCCAAAAACATATAAGATAGCAGAGAAAAAGAGGAGTTAGAGATCAAATTGACAAGAACAGCGGTATCACGAGAAAGGTCCGCGTGGTAATTTAGCTTTGGCAACCAGTGCGAAGACTTTGGGAAATGGATGCCTAATGTTGGAGATGATGTTAGGTGTTGAGAACAAAATCATATAAAAAAATTGAACAAAAAAATATATGTAATTGTAGAGAGCAAAGAGGACGTCAGATGTAAAACTAATCTAAGAGTGGAAAGCCTACTATAAGCAAGCTAGCAATTATTTTAAAAAATAAGAATCTATAGCCAACTCGAGATCAATACTGACACATGTTTGCTATAAAGTCTCATTAATACAAGTCTTCAAAGGTTAAGACAGAAGTAATTTTAACGTAACGTGTTGTGACAAGCTTAGTTTAATTAGTGGTCAAAAATTATTCACAAAAAGTTAAATTACATCAATTTTTTTTTTAATTAGAATAAAATAGTGAAACTCCAAGCGAAGACTTATACGAATTATTCCGAGTGGATGAGAGTTGATACCCAGCCCTTGATACAAATATAGAATTCTATCAAATCTGATCAATCTTGTCAAATTATTCATTGTGACTATGTTAAAGAAGCGAGGGAGGAATTGGCATTTGTACTTTTTGGGAGAAAGTAAAAGTAGTTCTCAAAGTTTTATGTATGCAAGGACTTCTATCGAGTTGAACAATAGAATCAATCACTCAAAGCTTATCATTTACATTTTAATGTGTTTCTGAAAAAATGATGCACTATTGGGCTTCGGTACTAATGTTTGGATTCAACGTGTTAAAAGAAAACAAAGTACAATTGTAAGTTTTCTATATAGCCTCAACTCTCAGTATAAAAGTGTTAAATCACAGATCATATCTGAATCTGGAGTTACTACTATGAAAGAAGCCTACACACTAAAATGTTGTGTATTATTCAAAGTTCTCAGGCTTCATCTGTACAACAACTTAGGGCTCTTGCTAACAAAGAAAATTCCGACATTAGTAAACCATAGTCTCAGGGCAATTATAGTAAAACATTGAATTTTAAAATCAAAACTCAAGGGTTGTTTACTACTGCCATGAGCCAGGTTATAAATGGAGAGCATATCAAAAGTAGCTCAAACTAACAAGAGTTTTAGATCAAAATCAACTTACATAGTCACTATTAACAAAGCTTCTCAGAGTCCGACTCTCTATTTTTGCATAAGAATATTTTAGATTCATCCAATTTCATAAAGCAACCAAGAAATCTCCCTCTCACTGACAGGTCAGTTAACAATGATACTTGTCGTGATTCTTCTTCCACACAATGGGTCATTGATTATAGTGTTACAGATCACATGACAGGCAATTAAAAACTCTAATGTTCTTAATTCTGGCACCATTAATGTTACACCTACAATGTCTTTAACTTTTGCCCATAAATTACCTCAATTCTTTTTTAATCTTCTCTATGTTAGCAAAATTACATGTGCTCTTAATTGTTGTGTCCTTTTTCTTTATTGAGGAAGGCATTATATATTAGATAATCAAAAAGAGTTGCAACATCTAACAAAAGGCATGGGCAAGGAATCACCATGCAACAGAAAGAAAATATAAGAGGGAATAACCTTTGACACACAAGTTCTCTTAGAAAAGTACCCAAGAGAAGCCAACCAAATAGCTGGTTGATTGCCTTCTCTTAAGGAATTAGTACAATGGCAGCAGTTTTAAAGTAATTGGGAAGATCCTTTCTCCTGAATAAATCTTGAATCACATCAATAATATCCTGACTACAGCCCAGCAGAATTTATAAAATGCTGAGTAACCATCAGGTCCAGCTTTTTTATCATCAACCTTATCCAAGGCCCCTTTAATCTCCTCCGCTTCAGGTACAAAGCAAAAATTTAGCTGATTTACATAACCAGAAATATTTCTAAACAAGGTTGCATCAACTTCAGGTTGAATACAATTATTCTAAATAAGAAGCTCCTGAAAATATCTAATCCCATCCAGCTGAATAGTGTCACTGTCATAAATCCATTGCCCATCTTCTTTTTTGATCTTCACAATAGCATTCAACTGTCTTCTTCTTTTAATAAAAG